CCACTATAGGCTCTATGTATGAGTTACTATGAGGACACAGCCTCAGTATATGTACCCACTATGCTCTATGTATGAGTTACTATGGGGACACAGCCTCAGTATATGTACCCACTATAGGCTCTATGTATGAGTTACTATGAGGACACAGCCTCAGTATATGTACCCACTATAGGCTCTATGTATGAGTTACTATGAGGACACAGCCTCAGTATATGTACCCACTATATGCTCTATGTATGAGTTACTATGAGGACACAGCCTCAGTATATGTACCCACTATAGGCTCTATGTATGCGTTACTATGAGGGCACAGCCTCAGTATATGTATCCACTATATGCTCTATGTATGAGTTACTATGAGGACACAGCCTCAGTATATGTACCCTCTATACGCTCTATGTATGAGTTACTATGAGGACACAGCCTCAGTATATGTACCCACTATAGGCTCTATGTATGAGTTACAATGAGGACTCTGCCTCAGTATATGTACCCACTATATGCTCTATGTATGCGTTACTATGAGGGCACAGCCTCAGTATATGTATCCACTAGATGCTCTATGTATGAGTTACTATGAGGACACAGCTTCAGTATATGTGTCCACTATATGCTCTATGTATGAGTTACTATGAGGACACAGCTTGACTATATGTATCCACTATATTGAAATGCATCTCTATGAAGAGGTGCTGATTGGCCAAAACGGCATTTGGTCCTGCCCCCTTGCCGGTTTTAGCCAATCCAATGCTTTCTCCATGGGAAAGCATTGGATCGGCTAAAAATCAGCAATTCTGATGTCACCAAGGGGGCGGGGCCAGCACTGGCAGACCCACTCGACCCTGGAAATAAGGTGAGTTTTATTAAAGGGATTATCCAGTGCCAGGAAAACATATTTATTTTTCCTGGCACTACAGGACCTTCTAGTGCCCCTCTACCTCCCACACCCATTCCAAGTTGCTGAAGGCGTTAAAACCCCTTCAGACTTACCAGAGTCCAGCGCCGATGTCCCTCGGCGTTGGGTCAGGCTCCGCCTACGATCCTCCCCCGACGTCAGCCGGTGGGGGAGACCTAATGCACACGCGCGGCCATCGGCGGGTGAGGCCTAATGCGCATGCAAAGGCCGCAAACTAGACTTCCCCATACGAAAGCATTATACAATGCTTTCCTATGGGGATTTTGGCAACGCCGGAGGTCCTCATATAGTGTGAGGACGTCCAGCGTCGTTTTAAAAAACACTTTTCGTGTTCTATGAACACAGAAGTCTCCTCTACTGGCTGTCTAGTAGACAGCCACTAGAGGAGGACTTAATCCTGCAATGTAAATATTGCAGTTTATGAAAACTACAATAATTACACTTGCAGGGTTAAGGGTACCCAGAACACTCCAATGGGCAGAAGTGGTCTGAGTGCATGGAGCATCCCTTTAACTTTTAAGGGAGCTAAGAGGGGGGCAAGCCACCTAAATGGTGGGTTTTGCACTATAGGGTCAGGAATACATGTTTGTGTTCATGACCCTATAGTGTTCCTTTAATATGTATTGCTGACTTAAAGTGCACAGCTTAGTTGATCCTGCTGTTTGCAGATACACTTCTTAGACTATTTATTGCTCCCATGAAGTGGCAACTGTGAAGCAATTACCTAACTGTTTTCTCTGGTATGCTTTACTGTCTCTAATCTAATTTACCTTTCATTTTAAATCTGTTGATATTGGCCTTTTGTTTCACCTGGTCATAACTTTAGTGATCAGGTTTTATTTTATGCAAAATTCGACTCTGAAAAATTCACTAGTCCTGGTTTGGTTTATAATTTTTATTCAGATTTCAGCTCAATGCTCTGGAGGGTTTAGAATATTCTTTAGTACGGAGTAAACTTCCTGCTAATTTATCCCTTGGGGACCTTAAAGGACCACTTTAGGCTCCCAGACTACTTCAGCTCAATGAAGTGGTCTGGGTGCCAGGTCCATCTAGTGTTAACCCTGCAGCTGTAAAAATAGTTTCAGAGAAACTGCTATGTTTATACTAGGGTTAATTCGGCCTCTAGTGGCTGTCTCACTGACAGCTGCTAGAGGCGCTTCCGCGCTTCTCACTGTGAAAATCACAATGAGAAGACACTGGACTTCCATAGGAAAGCATAGAGAAATGCTTTCCTATGGACTGTTTGAATGCGCGCACGGCTCTTACAGCGCATGCGCATTTTGCGCTGACGTCAGCCGAGGGAGTCCGTCGCTGGAGAAAGGTAAGTGTTTAACCCCTTCAGCCCAGCGGGAGTGGGACCCTGAGGGTGGGGGGGGACCTAAAGACCCTATAGTTCCAGGAAAACGAGTTTGTTTTCGTGGTACTCTAGTGGGGTCCTTTAAGTTTGGCAATCCACTTATTGTCAGTGCTGTCATTTGTTTGGTTCTTAAGGGGTTAAAGGGACACTATAGTCACCTGAACATCTTTAGTTTAATGAAGCATTTTTGGTGTATAGAACATGCCCCTGCAGCCTCACTGCTTAATCCTCTGCCATTTAGGAGTTAAATCCCTTTGTTTATAAACCCTAGTCACACCTCCCTGCATGTGACTTGTACAGCCTTCCATAAACACTTCCTGTAAAGAGAGCCCTATTTAGGCTTTCTTTATTGCAAGTTCTGTTTAATTAAGATTTTCTTATCCACTGCTATGTTAATAGCTTGCTAGACCCTGCAAGAGCCTCCTGTATGTGATTAAAGTTCAATTTAGAGATTGAGATACAATTATTTAAGGTAAATTACATCTGTTTAAAAGTGAAACCAGTTTTTTTTTTTCATGCAGGCTCTGTCAATCATAGCCAGGGGAGGTGTGGCTAGGGCTGCATAAACAGAAACAAAGTGATTTAACTCCTAAATGACAGTGAATTGAGCAGTGAAATTGCAGGGGAATGATCTATACACTAAAACTGCTTTATTTAGCTAAAGTAATTTAGGTGACAATAGTGTTCCTTTAACCCCTTAAGGACCAAACTTCTGGAATAAAAGGGAATCACGACATGTCACACATTGGGGTTAAGTATCAGATTTTCCCACAGATTCCCATGTTGTGAAGGGGAACAATTTCCTTTCTGCAATAAAAAGTATTATTTTGGGCTCATATGCTCCATGTAACTTTGATGCTGGTTATTGCAAGTATTTTAAATGACTTTGGAAGGTCCTTCAGTCACCAGACCATTGTACCAGGTTTACTATTTCAGGTAAAATTCACCTGCTACCAGAACAATAAGGGGAAACGCTGAACATGAAGTCCTCTTTCTGACCTCTGTTCTGATATTCATGGAGATTCTTTTGGGCGTACTACTATCTGGACTTCACAGCCAATGTATGGCTTTAAGCTGTTGAGTCATCCAGCATAATATAATATTGTAGCTTGTTTGTGACAAACATTTGGCTGATATGTTTTACATGGTCTCTGTACCTAGATCTGTATATGTGATGGTCACTCCTAACATTGCATTGTTATAATTCTTTTGGATTATATGCTTGGACTGGTGTTGCTATCTTTGAAGATAAAACAAACTGCAGAATGATCTTATTATCACCATAGGCTCTGCCGTAAGTACTTCATCACTATCTGAAGATAAGGTCAGTGTAAGTATATGGTTGCTTGTTCTCATAAGGATAATATATTATCCTGCTTATTATGTGTCTGCTGCCACAATGGATCTTGTACCTCTGGTTACCCCCTTTTAATTGGTGTCCTGCCTATAGTCTTTCTCCTACTGACATTGCACAAGTCTCTAATCAATTTGATTCTACTGTTTGAAATAATTAGTACTAGTTACAATATTTTTAAAGGTACACTATAGTCACCCATACCACTTCAGCTCAATGAAGTGGTCTGGGTGTCAGGTCCCTTCCGGACAGCCACTAGAGGTGCATCTGCGACGCTGGAGGCATATTATGCCTCCATCGCGCAGAGCGTCCATAGAACATTGAGAAATGCTTTCCTATGGACACTTTGAATACATGCGCGGCCCTTGCCGCGCATTTGCCTCCTGTGACGTCGGAGTGGGAGGAGAGGTCACCAGTGCCGAGGGAGCCCGGCGCTGGATAAAGGTAAGCTGCTGAAGGGGTTTTAACCCCTTCAGCGCCACGGGTGTGGGACCCTGAGGGTGGGGGCACCCTCAGGGCACTACAGTGTCAGGAAAACTGCTTTGTTTTCCTGACACTATAGTGATCCTTTAACTTTGAATGTAGGTCCTGACATGGTTGGCCTACATTGACTACTCATAATTTAGTAGTTGCCCCAATTTCTATGGTCCATACCGATATATTTTTTAACTTATCTGAATGATGTGATTCTTCATGACTTATTAAGATCTACTTGTGTTATTGGTTTGTAACTGTCCATTTCTGTATCAAACAATTCATTCACAGTGGGAGGTATTGCTGAGAGTCTGATTTTTGCAATATATAGTCATTATTGCTGTGTTTTAGTAACAGACTAATTTCTCTACTAGGCTCTGCCTTTCTCTTATAGGTATTATTTTGTTTGATATTATTTTGTTTCCTGTATCTACAGGTAAGTAGTTTACTAAGCAAGACATAGCGGTGTGAGTTGCCTTCAATAAATACATCCAGAAAATAGTAGGATTTTCAGTTTAATTCTCACCCTGCTATAAAACAGTGAATGACTGTTTTCATCCAACACTTTCTAAAATGTCATGGATTGTTCCAGTCTGATTCTGGAAGTAATGCCTTTGTCGAGGTTCTGTTTGATACCGCCAACCATTTGGTATTTAATTTATATTTGAGAAGAACATTATAGGTCTATAATCTCTAGACCGTGTCTTGGTTTTATGAAGTTTTATTATCCATTACTGGATGGGTGTTGTTTTTTTGTATTAGTCTAACCTTGTTTCTTCAATAGGTTTGGTAATCATGACCTTAATGCCTATCTGGCTTTATATTTCTGAAATTTCAATACCAGGGGTTGCTGACCTAGCTGCCCCTAGGGTAAAATACAAACAAACACAAAACACACACTTAAAAGAGAGAAAATGCCAAAACAAACAACTTTTACAAAAGTTACATTTACGCAAAAATACATCACTTAAATCACACATTTCACAACAGTTGTTTACACAATTCCCCAAAAACATACATTAAATAGTGCAGTTATCTCTATCAGTCTGCTTTACAATCAAGGGCCAGCAAAGCAAAACTAAACCTTACATCAGTCATTTAAATATACATAACATTATAGTTCATAAATACATTGCAAAGTCAAGTAGAATGCTAAAAATGACCACAAAACATGTGATCTACATGAAATAAAAAGCTTTTTTTTTTCTGGGTGACATCTTTCTCAGACATGTTGCATTTGGAACGATTTCACCTCGGTTAATTACCTTAAAGTACACTGTAGTTACCAAAACAACTTTAGCTTAATGAAGCCATTTGGCATATAGATTATGCAGTCTTACTGCTCAATTCTCTGCCATTTAGGATTTAAGTCACTTTTGTTTATATTCATGCAGCCCTAGCCATACCTCCCCAGGCTGTGACTGACACAGCCTGCATGGGGAAAAAAAGGTTAAAATTTCAATCCGATGTTAAAGGACCACTATAGTGCCAGGAAAACAAACTTGTTTTCCTGGCACTATAAGGTCTTTAGGCCCCCCCCCCCCAACCTCCTGGTGGGCTGAAGGGGTTAAAACACAGCTTTCTCCAGCGCTTGGGAACTCTCCTCCTTCTGCCGACGTAAGCGCCAAATGCGCATGAGCGGCAAGAGCCGAGCGGGCATTCAAACCGCCCATAGGAAAGCATTTCTTAATGCTTTCCTATGGACGTCCAGCGTCTTCTCACTGTGATTTTTTTTAAGGAGAAGTGCGGAAACGCCTCTAGACGCTCGATTAACCCTCAGTAAAACATAGTTTCTTTGAAACTTCTATGTTCTCAGCTGCAGAGTTAGCACTAAAGGGACCTGGCACCCAGACCACTTCATTGAGCTTTAACCTAAACTTCTGGAATAAAAGGGAATCATGACATGTCACACATGTCATGTGTCCTTAAGGGGTTAATTTACATTATACGTTTTTATTAACTGCTCTGTAAAGTTAACTTTAATCACACACACAAGGCATCTGCATGATCTAAGCTATTAACATTGCAGGAGATAAATTCTAAATTAAACAGACTGTGCAGAGAATTGAGCAGTGAGATGCAGGGGCATGATCTGTACATCAAAATGACTTAAGCTAAAGTTGTTTTGGTGACTATAGTGACCCTTTAATCACAGTCACTGACTAAATCACAGCACAGCAGGGGTGAGAGGAGTGTAACAGTTGATATTCTGAACAAATTAAGAGAAAATGAGGGAAATTTGGTAACGTGTGGGAGCAGTTCATAAATATCAACTGATTAAACCAAAGGCCAAAAGCTATGATTCCCACTGCCCATACAAATACATGTAACAACATGCCCAAATGGTTGATCCCTAGTCAAATGTTTCAAGAACTACAACTTCCATGATGCTTTTCTTTGTCAAAGCTGGTAAAGCATCATGGGTGTTGTAATTTACCTCTTTTTTTTTTTTTTTTTCTTAAAGTAAATATAGTTTTTATTGAGAAATAGACAAACAATAGTAAATAGTAAGGCAAGCCCGTTCTGGCCAAGCAAGAGAATTGTAATGTATAGAATACATCAACTCGCTTGAATGAAAGCAACATTGCATTAATAACACTGTAAGAACAGTCATTTGCATTAAGACATCTGAGTTTATATAAGTTTTAGCAATATACCACCTATCCACAGATCTGATCAATTCTTCCATCCTATTCAGTAAAGTGGTTTGTATAACACTACCTAGCAGCACATGAGACTGTGCACGTATGTATACCACGAGTTTGGGTTGAGTGAAAGCATGCGCGTTCTAATGCAGTAACAGTAGCAATTTACATATTTTGCACAGTGTGCACAAGACAGTCCCACTATCTTTGATTGGAACTCATTAAGATCTATAATAGATCCTGAGCTGTGACCATGTTTGCATCTTTCTACATAAAGGGAGTTAAAACCCTGCACTGCTGATGTGTATTAACTGCACTGTTGCTTCTTTTATGCTTTTTCATAGATGAAACTGTAGCTGTGTGCCGTACTATGTATTCCATAAACTCTAGCTGGGTAATATGATACCACTTACAATAATGGTAAGGCCATGATTTGCTTAGAGGTTTCAGCCACTTCCTAGTCTGGGGAGAGCTCACTGCAAGAAACATAACAGCTTAATAGAATTTGTTTTAATGGGTTTTGTTTCTTTTTTCCCATTATGCAATGCATTATCTTCCTATATTATATATACTCTACATATTGTTTTTAAAATATGGAGTTAATTCCAGCCTGGAGCGTTCCTTTAACCCCCTAAGGACTCGAGGGGATTGCTTTTTATTTCTGAAGCTGTGTCGTTAAAGGGTTAATATATAAGTAGGAAATCAAATGGCCAATTACAGCTGTGAATAAATGTCAAATTCGGACTTATTTAAATACCAGAAAAACTGTTTGGGAGCCACTGTTTTGAGCCAGGAAGCGATTCATCCAAAGAAACCTAAATTAAATAGTTCAAAGGAACAGGTAGTATATTTTCTTAAGTGAACTTGTAGAGAAAATTTTACTTACCTTAAATTGCTCCAATATACATTGAATACATCATTTATCACAAAGATACATTTTCTATATATATCCACTTTGCTTCTGGTCCAACGCTGCAATCTTCAGAGCTTAATAGGTATTACTCTTCATGAAACACCCACCTCCAGGCCATCGTCAGCTCCTCCTTTGGTCTCTTTTTATTCAATGCCGATATGATGGCCAAATTGTTAGCATACTGGCGCCTTTCACTTCATTCCTGTACACCTTAGCCAGCGCTAGCAGCACCGTCGAGGGAGTTTCCATGGCAACTGTAGTGCAGGCGCTGTGGTTATTATGTAGGGGCAGCAGAAGGACCATCTGTGGATGGTCTTTTCTGTTCTCCCTTGTCAATCAGATTGTCGGCACGCCAAAGATTTAACTGAGAAGTGGGAGAAAGACCTACTTTTAAATAGTTTGTCTCCAAATCTATACATTGCTCGCAAAAATGGCGGTACAATGTACGGATGAAAACATACACTCTTTAAAATTAGCATTGGTTGTAGGGCGGTTATCCTATTAGAGCTACAGTTATTTGTAATCTGATTATCCATGGCATATGGTACTGCATATCTTGTGGTGGAGATGATAAATTCTTCTCTAATAGCCAAAGGTAGAACCAACAAAAATGTGAATTTACACACACAGTTTAAATATATTGACATTTGCAAGGAGTCAGTGTCACAGGGAAAAGAAGCGCTCCATATTTTGATTCAAGCACTTATTGGAGTCAGAATGAGAGGATGTTTAAGTAACCATGAAGTTAAATACAAAGTTTCTGCTATCAGGAATTGGGAAAACCTGCAAATGTTCTATTTTGGCATATTTTCCTGCAAAAAAGCAATGGTTACGGTTTCTCCAGCTATACTACATAATCATGTAAAAATGTATTTTTGCTGACCCCAATGATGGTGTTATATTCCAAAATAGTGCACACTGGGGGCTTCAACAAAAGACATAAGTGGGGTAAGTAACAAATCCTCTACAACATTAATAATACCCAATTAAAATACAAATAAGTACAAATCATTTAGACAGGTTTTTGAGTCTATATATGGCGAGGTTTTATAGATATCTGAGATTACATTCACTTGGGAAAGACACGGGTGAGATTTCAGAATCAGATCATCAGTCACAGGACCCATCCTTCCAGCCGTCCCGCCATCTTTCATCGACTTTTGAGCAGTCAAACTCCGTCTTCCCCAGTTTTCTATTCACATCATTGTGTAGTATGCACATCCACTGTGACAAGTTGTATCTGCTGCTGGTATCAGGCTGAGTAGTCTTCAGTCTGCAGAACAAATCAAAAAGTTATCCGTGTTGTTCATTCAAGGCATTGCAATACACCTGCTATATATTGTAAAACTACAGCTCCCATCTTTCTTTATGGCTTTGGTGGATGACTGTTTTGAACAAGGTACAATTCTCAGGCAACAGAGGGAGATTTTTTTTTTTAAATAGCTTCCCAGTATTTAGCCTCAATTTAAAGGAACACTATAGAGTCAGGAACACAAACACGTATTCCTAACCCTGTAATGCTAAAAACAGCATACAACCCCCTTGCTTTCTAAATATAGTAAAATATGACCTTTATTATAGTCTGCTGCTGCTGGCTCTGCCCCATCTGCCGACATTGTCAGACGTTATGAACTGACCCAATCGCAATGCTTTCCCACAGGAAAGCATTGGATTGGCTGAGTGTCAAGGAGTCAGATCAGGGGCAGAGCCAACACAAGCCAAACACAGCCCTGGTCAATCAGCATCTCCTCATAGAGAGGCATTGAATCAATGAATCTCTATGAGGAAAGTTCAGTGTCTCCATGCAGAGGGCAGAGACACTGAATGTCACACTGAATGCTGCTCACTGTGCAGCACTGCCTCAGGAAGCAGCTCTAAAAGCTGAGTGGCCGCCAGTGGAGGTATCCCTAGGCTGTAATGTAAACACTGCATTTTCTCTGAAAACACAGTGTTTACTGCAAAAATCCTGAAGGTAATGATTATACTCACCAGAACAAATACAATACCCTGTCCTTTAATAACTTTAGATAAGCATTTCATGTGATTAGATATAGTTTGAAATATATTGTATTGTTATGGTATGTTTTGATATATATATATATTAATATTTTGAAAAGAAATTATATTTTAAATATTTGTTCAAAAATAAATGAAATGCTTTTCCAAAAATATCAAATTGAGGTCTTTAATTTCATCAGAATTTTAAAATTATAGCAAAACTGAGATAAGAACTTGATTTGCTGCTCTAAAACGCTCTATAGCAACTCTGATGTTTCCTTTTTTGTTTTTTTTTTTTAAACCCTCCGATTCCTGCCAGCCATTAATGACAGCTAATAACCTATGCAGAGGGGCTAAAATACCAGTTGCTGCAAGATAATGCATCCAGCCCCTGACAGATGTATCTGTAGAATAAGCCTCCCTCTTCTAACCCTACCCAGACTTTCTGTGGCTGTCCAATCACAGACTTCCAAATGCAGGTCAATGAGAAGTCTTTGCAAGGCAGGTGCTCTGGGCAATTGCAGCCTCTTGGATTTACCTCCACTGAGGTACAAAAAAAATAATTCAAAAGAAAATCACAGGAAGTAACAGAACCTGTTGACTGCTTTAAATCCAGTTTCGTTATCCAAGCACATACCTGTCTCTCAGGTCCTCTGCACACTCATCACATGGATAAAACTTTGAGAAAATGTTGATAAAGCTTTTCATCTCGTCCTGCTGTTTACTAGTGGGCTGATCAGGGTAGTAAGCTGCCATAGTATGTAAAAACGACCAAGTACTTCTGCCGAGCTCTTCCCTATCCAATGGGCATTCAGGCGGTCTCTCTCGGTCTTCGATCTCAGTTTCCTAAAAAGAAAAAAGGTCCTCCTTTACAGGGTTTAAATACTATCCAAGACCTATAAATAGACTTTTTTGCAGTTTATTGAAGAGGTTTGCAGTGTATATAGATGTAAGAAACAAAATGGATATCTGGCATATAGTTCATGTATTTTCTAACTTTTAGGCAACATTTCAACCCTAGATAACTTAAAAAGAACCAACATATCCCACACCGTGTACAATATAAGGACTAACAAACAAATAGCTATAACAAGAAAAGCTGGACATACAAGAATAGTAGTGTCATAGACCAGGGCTTGACAAATTAGTTTGGAATCTAGTAGGGATCGACCGATATTGATTTTTTAGAGCCGATACCGATACCAATAATCTGCAAACTTTCAGGCCGATAGCCGATATCTTGCCGATATTCTGTACATTTACTATTTTGAATAAATAAAACTAATTCGAAAGGTAAATGCACAAAATATACATGCCACATGTAGTGGATGAAGTGTATTTAGACAGGGGAACTGTGTGTGTTTGTGTAGTGTGTGTGTGTGTGTGTGTGTAGTGGATGCAGAGTGTGTGTTTGTGTAGTGTGTGTATAATGAATGTAGTGTGTATATAATGCAGTGTGTTTATGTAGTGTGTGTGTATAATGCAGTGTTTTTGTGTGTGTATGTGTAGTGTGTATGTATGTAATGTGTGTATGTAATGCAGTGTGTGTTTGTGTAGTGTGTATGTAATGTAGTGTGTATGTAATGCAGTGTGTGTGTATGTAATGCAGTATGTGTGCAGTGTGTTTGTGTAGTGTGTGTGTATGTAATGCAGTGTAGTGTGTGCAGTGTGTCTGTTATTCAGTATGTGTGCAGTGTGTGTTTGTGTAGTGTGTGTGGTGTGTGTGTATGTAATGCAGTGTGTGTGTGTCTGTGTAGTGTGTATGTAATGCAGTATGTGTGTATGTAATGCAGTATGTGTTTGTGTGTGTGTGTGTGTGTTTGTGTAGTGATGTAATTTGTGTAATTTTTTATTTTAATATTTTTTTTAATATTTAAATGTTGTTGTTTTTTGTTTAGTTCCCCCTCCCTAGTTTGTGTAGTGTGTGTGTGTAATGCAGTGTGTGTGTCTGAGTAGTGTGTATGTAATGCAGTATGTGTGCAGTGTGTGTTTGTGTGGTGATGTAATTTGTGTAATTTTTTATTTTAATATTTTTTTTAATATTTAAATGTGTTTTTTTTTTGTTTAGTCCCCCCTCCCTGCTTCTTACCAGGTAAGGGGGATATAGTATTCTCTGGTGGTCCAGTGGCTTATTAAGTACAGTGGTGGCTCAGCAACAGCAAGCGCTGACTTACCTTGCAAGCAGCGCCTACAGCTCTCTGTGTAAATCTCGCGGCTCTTAGTGCCGCGCGGAGCGTTGCCACGGTAACCCGGGTCTCGCGAGATTTACACAGAGAGCTGTAGGAGCTGCTTGCAAGGTAAGTCAGCGCTTGCTGCTGGCCCTCACAGGACCGCCGGGCTTGTAATGGGCCCGGCGGTCCTGTTATATATTATCGGCAATATCGGTATCTGAATTGGCAGATACCGATATTGACGAAAATACCAAATATCGGTCGATCCCTAGAATCTTTTTTTTAAAGGGACACTATAGTCACCAGAACCACTACAGCTTAATGTAGTGATTCTGGTGCCTATAGCCTTTACAATGTAAACGCTGCATTTTTAGAGAAAAGGCAGTGTTTACATTGCTGCCTACTAAGACCTCTAGCCTGTCACTCAGACGGCCACTAGAGAGTCCTGTGTCAGTGCTCTACATGAAGGCGCTGAATGTTACCCATACAGAACATGAGCAATATCCTCCCAATACTTTCCTATGGGAAAGCATTGGCCTAGCTGATATCATAAAGATCGATAAACTCGGCAATGAGGACGGGACAAGCCACGGCAAAACCTGCACATAGACCTGTCATAGACTTACCTCTCGGGTCACGTGTAGAGAATGCACCGGGCGGCTGCACTGCTATGGTCCTCAGGCCGTGCAGCCTTCATAGGAAAAAAGCTCACCTTCGGTCCCGCGAACAGCTCCCTCTCCCGGTTCGTGTCGTGAACTACAGCCCCTTAAAATAAATTTTATAATCATGACGTCATGGCCTGAAAAGGTACCAAGTCATGTATGCGACCCCATGTTATTTGGGGTTACAGATGATGTGGACCAATGTGAAATCACATGAACCTATTTAAAGCCCGGTCTGGACCAATACTCATTGCTCTGTTGTGGTTTCTGTCCTGATACACACAAGTCTTTCTGATATTGACCTCAGCTTATATTTGACTGTGACGGTATAATCCTGTGACCTGTCAATCATTCCCTTTTTCCCATATAATAAAATAGCCAAGTAATCCACAGAGTAATAAATCGCTGGTATCGCCGAATAATCCACACATGAGCCAAAGCTTAATGCTGGAACAAGACTGCTTTACTGGGAACAAGGGTGCTCAATTTATGCAACACATAGCTCCTCCTCTGGGCCAGGCTAGATAATTGAGTTTAAACAGCATATCAAACACAATTATCTACTGGCCAGAAAAGTTAAAATGTTTCACAATTCTTAAAAATATACTTTATACATAACATATTAATATGAAAACCATATCCCTGGGGAGCTGAGGGTGATGTGAGCAACATATTCAAAATTCTAGAAAAAACATTCAGTAATTTTGGATTTATACCGTGTGGAAGTTTGACCGGCTCGCCACGAGGTGGTAGCCAACTTAGAGTTCCATAGAATCAGTGGCAAGAGCCGGTCTCCGTTCGGATGAAATTTTCACGAAAACCGCAGTAGATATCTTCAATCTGGTTCTTGGAGAATGCTTTCCTCGTTCGTCTGTTTCAAACTCCTGAATGCCGTTCTTCTGCCGTATTTAAAAGTGGTTCGTATGGGACTTCCAGAGGGGACCGGGTGTTTGTGCGAGTGCCATGCCGAAAACAGTTCCAGACGACCAAGTCCTGCTGGCCGGCCATTCGGGAGTTAAGATGGCCGCCGTCCATTGTCCTCGCCACGTGTCCGTATGCCGAAATGGCGGACACCTCGGAACAGTCAATTAACTTGCGGAACTGACTATTTTACCGAACAAGGGAAATTAACAAAATGAAAGTAACAAATGAACCAACAATAAAGGTAATAAATCCAACTAATAAAATAGCAGGGAGGGAAAGAACCGAATGAGTGGAGGGTGATTCATCACATTGACTTTGTGTAATTCTGGTATCCTGACCCTGCTTGTTTCTGACTTTGTGTATTTCTGGTATCCTGACCCAGCTTGTTTCTGACTTTGTGTATTTCTGGTATCCTGACCCAGCTTGTTTCTGACTTTGTGTATTTCTGGTATCCTGACCCAGCTTGTTTCTGACTTTGTGTATTTCAGTAGATGGTGAGCTTAAAGGACCACTATAGGCACTCAGACCACTTCAGCTCAGCTGAGTTTTAACCCTGCAGCTGAAAACATAGCCATTTCAGAGAAACTGCTATGTTTACAATGAGGGTTAATCCAGCCTCTAGTGGCTGTCTCATTGACAGCCACTAGAGGCTGCTTCCGCGATTCTCACTGTGAAAATCACAGTGAGAAGACGCTGGACGTCCATAAGCAAGCATTGAGTAATGTTTTCCTATGGGCGGTTTAAATGCGTGCGCGGCTCTTGCCGCACATGCGGCGCTGACGTCGGCAGGAGGAGGAGAGTTTCCAAGCGCCAAGGGAGCCCGGCGCTGCAGAAAGGTAAGTGGCTGAAGGGATTTTAACCCCTTCAGCCCAGCGGGAGGGGGTGGACCTAATAACCATATAGTGCCAGGAAAACTAGTTTGTTTTCCTGGCTATATAGTGGTCCTTTAAACAAGCTTACATTCTAATTTAATAAATTTTAAAATATAAAATCAGCAAGATGCATATAAAGACCAAACTTGTTTAGATTTATTTCCTATGTTGACATCCACAGTTGTATCAAAAATGTACAATTACGTTAAAATAGAATCAAAAACAAAAAATTACATAAACCATGAACAGTTAGGCTTTGCAACACTAGGGGATGCTGCTGATCACGTTTTGTCTACAACACAGGAAGAGCACTGGATTTTAACCTGTTTCAGGTCATATATCTTCTCAGGACTCACACTATATTATAAGCCTTTGCACAATCCTTGTCACTGTTTACACTTAAGTAAGAAACTTTTTTTTCTTTTGGGTATCCCCACAGGAAGCAATCGGTAGCTGAAAGGTCAGGCAAACGTTGCCGCCAATTAATCTGTGAATTTCTTGAAATTATTCGCTTGCCAAACAGTTGTCTCAGGAGGAACATTGTAGCCTCATCCTGTTAAAACTTCCAATTCAGGAGGATTTTCCTCTTTGTTTTAAAATAATGTACCTGAAATTTTGAAAATAAAATTCCACTATTTTTACACATTGATCTTACCAATGATGAATCTCCCAAGACTCCGTTATTATATGTACATGCAACAAAAAAATAATTTAACTACTAACAAATAAGCTATTTACCCATCAAATCCTTCTCTGAATTTTGGCCCTCCGTGTACTTGCTCTGTGACAAATTAACATGTAAACGGCAAGCTATATTGCTAAACAAAGACACTCCAATACTTGAAACTGATCCCTTTGAATGTTGTGTTGACCCCAAACCACTGCTATGGCACAAAGTGTAATAATAGAAAACCTTATCTAGAGGTAATTTCGCAGGAGACAATAAGTGTTAGTGACAATCATGGTAATATGTATCTTTAAGTAGAAGACAGATCTCCCCTCCCCCCCCGAATTTGCAAATCGGTATGTCAGTTGTTCTGTTTAATGAATAATCATCTTGCTTCACATACTTGAACTACACGCCAGTGGTTCTTAGCCATTGGGCCTGGATCTAGAATGAAAGTCCTAATGCAATTTTTAGTATATTCTCATTTGTTGAAGCAGGAACATAATATTGATCAGGTGCTGGGTAGCTGTCCACAATGAAGCCTTTAGTGTGTGAGATAACTTTGGTCTAGAGAGAATTATTTTGAAATGTATTTGGTGCCACCAATTTCCACAAATATTTTTTTTCTAGGTTGGGCTTAAAGAGGAAATCAAATGCATAAATACAAAGCAGGATTTATATTCTAGGCAACTCTAAACAAATTACTATTGCTTCAGTGTCAGCATCATTCACAATATATCGTGTGCCATAAAATGCTAGATTAGAGCATTAATCGTAGAACAATAAAATACATGTATCTTAGACCACAGCATAAAGGGATCCTAAAGTGCCCGGAAAAAAAACAGTTTTCCTGGCACTATAGGCTCCTGGAGTGCCTCCCTCCCTCAGGGTCACCCTCCCGCGTGGCTGAAGAGGGTTAAAACCCCTTCAGCCACATACCTGAATCCAACGCCGATGGCCCTCGGCGCGGGGTCAGGCTCCGCCCATGCCGATGTCAGCCGGCAGGGGAGAACTAATGCACAACCCGGCAATGGCCTCGTGCGCATTAGACCTCCCCACAGGAAAGTATTATTCAATGCTTTTCTATTGGGAAAATCTGACGCTGGAGGTCCGTGAGGACATCCAGCGTCAGATAACAGACCAAAAGTCCGTTTGTATTCTGGAAGCCCTCTAGTGGCTGTCTGGTAAACAGCCACTGAGGGCAGACTTAGAGCTGCAATGTAAACATTGCAGTTCTCTGGAACTGCAATGTTTTACATTGCAGCACTAAGTGCAAAAGGGTCACAGCACCCAGACCACTTTAATTAGCTGAAGTGGTCTGGGTGCCTACTGTGTCCCTTTAAGTGCTTCAACTTGCCCTAACTTGTAGATACCAATTAAAGCCGCTAGAGGAGAATACAGTTAAGATTATCTGTATCATGTTAATGAGAGAGCAAGATTTAGTACTGACTTAAAGGACCACTATAGTACCAGGAAAACAAACTCGTTTTCCTGGCACTATAGTGCCCTGAGGGTGCCCCTACCCTCAGGGTTCCACTCCCGCTCGGCTGAAGGGGGTTAAAATCTTACCTTTCTCCAGCGCTGGGGACTCTCCTTCTCCGGTCGTCATCGGCTGAATGAGCATGCGCGACAAGAGCCGGGCGCGCATTCAGTCAGTCCATTCTCAATGCTTTCCTATGGATGCTGGCGTCTTCTCATTGTGAAAATCACAGTGAGAAGCGCGGAATCGCCTCTAGCGGCTGTCAATGAGACAGCCACTAGAGGCTGGATTAACCCTAAAGTAAAGTAAAGTATTTACAGCAGGCAGGGTTAATCCTAGATGGACCTGGCACCCAGACCACTTCATTAAGTTGAAGTGGTCTGGGTGCCTATAGTGTTCCTTTAATTACCGGTAATGGGTATTACAAGCATGAGTGCAAAGCTACAAAAGTACTGAAATTATTAATTGTATACCAGCAAAAAAAAAATATGTAGCAAGTCAAAACACAATAAACATGTATACTGTATCATTGTAAAATAAAAAATGTTTGTACATGAATTGAAACACACACACTGGGTGTGGAAGAAAAATGGGAAAGTGATGCAATATTAGTTTTGTATTCTATCCTCAATATGTCATTGGTCTGATACAATATTTTTTAATACATTGATATTTCTTATTTGTTTTTTCCTGCGGTTATCAGAAATGTGCAGTGTTTAAGATCATATTAGGAACAAGATGTACAGTAGCTGCCTGATGACATCATACCTGGCACCAGATGACAAATTTATGCAAAAAACTGCATAGGTTTGGGAGAGAGATACCTAAAGGGGCTGAGAGGACACAAAGAGACACAGAGGGGCTGTGGAAGGGGCAACATCTAAACCCATTAGATTTTAGTTGTGTCGATTAAAATCTACTGGAGATTTAGTAGACTAAAACAATTCAGACGATTAAAGCGGCACTGTCATGCCGAACTTACCTTTCCTCAATCTCTTCCTCTTCTCCCCCTCTCTCGGGATCTGTTATTCTTTTCTTTCTGTCTTCTTTAGTTTTCTTTAAAATCATAAGACAAAGTAGGGACTCTTTGCCTTATGGAGGATTCCTCAGCTTGACCAGCTCTGACCAGCGGAGGAGCAAAGTGTGCTTCATTTCCGCTGGTCAGAGCAATTTTCCCATAATTCTTACCTTCCCTCTGTGTTCCCACAATGCTTCCTGTCATTTTACATGAAACTGCCGAATTGCGTTCTAACTGAATGAGAACAGTATGTTCGTTTCTTTTTTTTTTTTTTTATAATTCTTTATTTTATTTGTGCATCTTAATAACAAATGGGTTTGCTTTGCCACAACAGCAAGAACAAACTGAGCGATAAACACAAGAGAACAATATTGTGGCATTGAAGGCATTGCACATTTTTGTTAGATTATCAAGATAAACATGCACGTTTTAGCATGATATGGTACAAGGTGAACACAAAGTTTAGGCGATAACTAGGCATACGAGGTATAACTGTCTTAGCAACGCATATTGGCTGCTAGTGTAATTATCTGAACTACAAGCTTAACGGAGCTTGAGGAGTTCCAAGATGGAGTTGTGTCTTTTTTTTTTTTGTTTGCTAACAATTTATATCTATTGTGGGTATATTCAAGTGCTAGTGAGACAGGTTGAAACGGGGTGCTGAGTATTATGAGCCCTATGGTCCATGTGCAGTAATGGAGGGAGACAGATATAGTAAATGTGAGTAATTAGGAGACTAATTTTGCTGGATGCATTGAGTCACTCTTAATAAACCTGCTTATGATAACCTAAAATAACAGGGGAACGTAAACATAAAGACATATCTCGTTTTGAGGATGTAGTCCTCTGTATTGTAACAGTCGGGTGTTTATGTTGCCTTCCGTGAGCATGGGGGCATTGAAGGTAACCCACAGAGGTTTTAAGTCCGTTAGAGTCCCGCTTTGCCCGTGCTTCAGCCTACTCCTTGTATGGTCATCTCCCAGGCTTGTATTGTGCCGGTCAGCTTGCGCAGTGTCCCAGATGTAAGGGAGTGTGGAGCCCCGGAGTCGCGTGTATGTATACTGGTCGGTGAGTGTGAGGACCTCCAAGTTGTGGTCTGAGCTGAGTTCACCCGTCTCGGGTCGGGGTGGCTCTGTGGTCGCCTACCCGGTGTGGACATCACCCTGGGCCGTGCGCCTCGCTGTGTCGCTTGTTTGGTCGGGTCGCATCTGCCCCTCTGCGTTTTGCGTCTCGGGGGTCTCCTCCTGGCCATCCCACAGGCTCCAGGCCCCAGTTTGTTGTTGCTCACCTTTGGGTTCAGGCGCATGTCGGAGAGGGCCCTTCGCTGGAGCTGGGTGCTCGTCGGTGCTATACGCTGTGCACCTCGCGGTGAGTTGTGTGGCTTCTCGGTAGTAGGTGGTGCGTGTCCCTGAGGCCGCATGCGAGCCCTCAGCTGTTTCCAAAAGGAGGCGAAGATAGCGTTTAGCCTGTGTTCAGTGTCCAACCATATACTTTGTGGGTATGCTGTTGAGACGGCATCCGCCATCTTGGGGGCTTGCATGCCAGTAGGTTTGGGACCCTGTGTCCCTATCGTTTGTACACCCCTTCGCAGGGGGAGCTTGTGGGGGTGGACCGGGATGACCCCCACCGGTCCAGAGGGGGGGAGACGAGGGCCCAAGTCCTGGATCTTGGCTGGTCGTGGCATCAGGAGAGCGGCCGTCCCTCCCGCGCATGCCATGTTTGTAGGCCTCACCATCATGTCGGGTGATTGGGGTTAGATCTGTCGCTCGATCAGTGCACCCCGATGGCACGGCTCACTGGGTAGCCTTTCCGACCTGGTTGTGCGCCGTTAGGGCTATAGAAATGGGAGAAATTTGCAGTTTTCAGCGGGAGCTGCTGTAGTGTGCTTCCACTCTGCTCCAAGGTCAGGCCCCGCCCCCGTGTTCGTTTCTTTTAGAACGCAATTCGGCACTTTATTCGGATCGGAATTTCATTCTAATGAATGAAACTCTGATCCTATTCATTGCTGTGGCTGCATCTTGCAGCCGCTTAGTAGATAACTCCCTAATTCCCACGGTATCAGGGAGTTATCTACTAAAAGGCTGAAAGACCTAAATTGGTCTTTCAGCCAACTTTACTAATACCAAGTAAAAATTACTTAGTATTAGTAAATAATATGCCCCTACTCGCTATACCGCGAGTAGGGGCATGTGTAGTAAGCAGTGAGCAGCGTATAGCTGCTCACTGTAAAAAAACAAACAAAAAACTAATAACCCCCCCCCCACTCCCCCCATGCCCGTGGGGGCCCTAAATAAAGATGGGGGGGAACCTACTGGCCCCCCCCTGGCCCCCACCCCTGCGCGGTGGGTGGGTGGGGGCCCTAATACAACAATAAGGGGGGGGGACCTACTGTCCTCCCCCCCGGCCCCCACCCCTGCGCGGTGGGTGGGGGCCCTAGTAAAACAATAAGGGGGGGGGACCTACTGTCCCCCCCAGGCCCCCACCCCTGCGCGGTGGGTGGGGGCCCCAATAAAACAATAAGGGGGGGGGACCTACTGTCCTCCCCCCCTGGCCCCCACCCCTGAGCGGTGGGTGGGGCCCTAATAAAACAATAAGGGGGGGGACCTACTGTCCTCCCCCCCGGCCCCCACCCCTGAGCGGTGGGTGGGGGCCCCAGTAAAACAATAAGGGGGGGGGACCTACTGTCCTCCCCCCCGGCCCCCACCCCTGAGCGGTGGGTGGGGGCCCCAATAAAACAATAGGGGGGGGACCTACTGTCCTCCCCCCCTGGCCCCCACCCCTGTGCGGTGGGTGGGGGCCCTAATAAAACAATAAGGGGGGGGACCTACTGTCCTCCCCCCCGGCCCCCACCCCCTGAGCGGTGGGTGGGGGCCCTAAATGAAACACCCCCCCCCAATCAAGGTGACTAGGGGTCCCAAGCCCCTAGTCACCACCCCCCCACCCAAAAAAACCTATCCCCTACCTACCCCCCTCACCCTACAAATAGTGAGGGGGGGAATAAAATAACTAACCTGTAAAAAAAAAAAATTAAACTTACCATTTGACGCCTTCTTTTTTCTAAAATCTTCTTTCTTCAGCCCCCAAAAAGGCCAAATAAAAATCCATTACACCCGTCGCACTTTAAAAAAAAAAAAAAAAACGAGCGCAAAAAAAATTAATCCAAGTTCGCCCTTCGAGGGCACGCCGCATACTGAGCTCCGCAGGGCGGGTCAAGGCTTATAAAGCTCTGAGTCATTTTACACAGCGTGGGAAAATTCAAAAGAACTGTTTAGTAGACATGCCCCTACTCGCGGTATAGCGAGTAGGGGCATTTGGGAGATTTTAATCTCCCTTGTGCTATTATGGGGGTCATATTGACCCCCATAGAGTGAGAGGTGGACCTGGGGGGGCTTATGAAGTGGTGGGGAGCACTGCTCCCTGCCGCTTCTATAATTACATATTACAAGGAGGGAGCTGCGTGCCGGTAGCTCCCTCCTTGTAATAAACGGAACGAACAAACTAACACTGATACATTGTGTTAGTTTGTTCGGCTGATCTTTCTATTCATTCATTCGTCTGTCTGATGAATGAATGAATAGATGAAATTCCCGTTCGCATGTCCAGGTGTTTCACTGGGCATGTGCGGGAATCTCACAGTCTGTCTAGTGTGGGCTGATGACGTGTCCCTGAGGGACTTCACCTACCCACACAAAGATGGCGGCGCCCTGAATCAAGATCGGGGCAGAAAATAAGGATAAAAAAATAGGTAATGTGGGGGGCTTAGGGGCATTTGGGCGTGACTAGTGGGTCAATTGGATGTAGTGGAGGCGGGTTAAAAAAAAAAACGGGATTCGGCATGACAGTGCCGCTTTAACATAGCTTTTCAGTCAAAAGACTGACTAAATTGAAATTTGCCGCACCCATTGATTAATACAGTCCATTTGACACACTGACTAGTACCCGAGGTTACAGTCCACAACACACACTGACTAATACGGGATGGGACAGTCCACAACACACACTGACTAGTACCTGAGGTGACAGTCCATGGCACACACTGACTAGTACCTGAGGTGACAGTCCATGGCACACACTGACTAGTACCTGAGGTGACAGTCCATGGCACACACTGACTAGTACCTGAGGTGACAGTCCATGGCACACACTGACTAGTACCTGAGGTGACAGTCCATGGAACACACTGACTAGTACCTGAGGTGACAGTCGGTAAAAGATAGTAACTTGCCAATACCCGCGGTGACAGAATGCAGCATACATATATTGACTAGGACATAAAGTTACCATAGGACACTTTCCCCTGTGGTGACACTCGGGGACCCCCCGACCTCCCTCCCAGGCTGACACTCGGGGACCCCCCGCCTCCCCCCCAGGCTGACACTCGGGGACCCCCCGGCCTCCCCCCTGGCTGACACTCGGGGACCCCCCGGACTCCCCCTGGCTGACACTTGGGGACCCCCCGGCCTCCCCCAGGCTGACACTCGGGACCCCTGCCTCCCCCAGGCTGACCCCTGGGGACCCCCGGCCTCCCCCCAGGCTGACTCTCGGGACCCCCGGCATCCTCCCAGGCTGGACACACTCGGGGACCCCTGGCTCCCCCTGGAAAGCCGACACTCTCGGGGACCCCCGGCCTCCCCCCAGGCTGACATCACTGGGGACCCCGCCCCCAGGCTGACTCGGGACCCCGGCCTCCCCCAGGCTTCGACCCCCGGGGACCCCCGGCCTCCCCCCAGGCTGGGACACACTGGGACCCCTGCCTCCCCAGGCTGACTCGGGGGTCCCCGGCCTCCCCCAGGCTGACCTCGTGACCCCGGCCTCCCTCAGGCTGACCCCTCGGGGACCCCGCCTCCCTCCCAGGCTGACACTGGGACCCCCGCCTCCCCAGGGCTGACTCTTGCACCCCCTCTGCCTTCCCTCCCAGGCTGACACTCGGGGACCCCCCGCCTCCCCCTCTGTGGCTGACTCTCGGGGACCCCCCGGCCTCCCTCCCAGGCTGACACTCGGGGACCCCCCGTTGACAGGCCCCGGTTACCGCCTCACCAGGGAGCTCGAGCTCTGCTTCCTCTGCTGCTTCATCCAGCTCTTGAAATCCATGCAGGCACGGCAGGGCTTCTTGGGGTGTCCTCCCTCCCCCCCGGCAGGGCCGCCTGCTGCCGGCTTCACCCCGGGTATCGGGAACGGAAACCCGCTCAGAGGGTTCGAGGCTTGCCGGTCACTGGGCGCCGCCATGTTGGGAGAGCAGTGCATTCTGGGAGCGGCCCTGGAGAGACATGCTCATAGCTGCAGGTGGCTCAGAGCTGTGTCAACTCATTCTCACTGTTTCTGCACACACAAACACACAGACAGACACACACACACATACACAGACACACACACACACACACACACAGCTGTGTGTTTATTTTATTTTGTATTTTGTTTAGAATTATTGTTTTAGTGTTCTTATTGTAAAAAAAAATAATATTGATAAAAGTAAGCTGTTATTTCTAGAGGATCAACACTGAAATCAATGATGGTAATATACTTATATCTATGACTTGGGCTCAGATATAAATTTATTTTCTGCAGAATAATCTTGTTTTTTAGAACATTTTTCGTGACACCCAAATTTGAGTTCAGATGGTTCAGCTCAGCAGAATTTCGATTGGGAACTGGATCTGAAGAACAAACCAAACCTGTGCGAAAATGGGACAATCAGTGTGCTGCAAAGTACACACATAATACTATATTTATACATTTTGCAGTACACTGATAGGAGCGTTTTCCAGCCATATGAAATCAGATCAACTGAGAAAAAGTAACCAATAGATGGGAAAACTGGGTGGGCAATAAAATATCTATAGTTATTAAATATCTAATATATAAATATATAGTTAGTGCTCCTTCTGTTTTACCATCTATTGCTCACTTCTCAATGTGAATAAAATCAAATCAACATTTAGTGACTGCTCCCTAGCCATCAATAATCATTTTTTGTAAACAATCATCTCATGAGCGGAAAATTTAGTAGCTCTACAGACGATAATAAAAAATAAATAAAATAAAAAAATACTTTTTTTTCCCCTGTAGCAAAAGCTGACTTACACCACCTTAGCACAACTTCTTGATTGCATTTGATTTGTTTTGTGGGCTGGATTGATAAGTGCTATTCTCTTTACTTGTCAGTGATTGGCAACACAGTATTCGTTCTTACTGACTTGGTGTATATCCTGGTCAATTTCACATGGTGTGTGGCACAATGACATTACTTTGCAGAAGCATTGAATAACAAAAACAACAGACTGATAATCAGTGCATTTGAGAAAGAAAGCAGTAGCTTATGCATAAGTGCCAATTCACAAATTTAGGAACTTTATATACCTGCCTTACTCAGAAGCGGATTAAGGTTTCCCAAGGCCCTAGGTGTGTTGCGTGTTGAATAGCTGAGTGTTTTATGTGTGTGCATGAGACTGAATGTTGTGTGTGTGTGTGAAGTAGGTTGAGACAGGGGCGTATTAGCCGCGAGGCAAACAAGGCATTTGCCTTGGGCGGCATTTTTCAGGGGGCGGCAAAAAAGCCGCCCCCAAATGCCCAGGCAAATGTCTTGTTAGCCTCGCGGCTAACAGACATGCCGAGCTGGCGTGCTGGGCGGGCGGAAGGCGAGGGAGCTCTTCCCCTGAGCGCTCTGCTCAGCTCCCTCGCGCGCCGCCAAGTGAGGCTGGGAGCTGGAATATGACGTCATATTCCGGCTCCCGGCCTCACTCTGCTGGCGGCACGCGAGGGAGCTGAGCAGAGCGCTCAGGGGAAGAGCTCCCTCGCCGCCCGCCCGCCCTGCAGCCACTGGACCCCAGGGAGAGGGAGAACCCCCCCAGCATTCCCAAAGGTAAGGAGGCTGGGAGGGGTTAAATAAAAAAAAAACCCACAAGTGAGTGTGTTAGTGTGTGTGTGTGTGTCTGTCTGTTAGTGTGTGTGTATGTTAGTGTTAGTGTGTGTGTCTGTTAGTGTGTGTGTGTCTGTTAGTGTGTGTGTGAGTCTGTTAGTGTGTGTCTGTTAGTGTGTGTCTGTTAGTGTGTGTGTTTGCCTGTTAGTGTGTGTCTGTTAGTGAGTGTGTGCGTGTGTCTGTTAGTGAGTGTGTGTTTGCCTGTTAGTGTGTGTGTCTGTTAGTGAGTGAGTGTGTCTGTTAGTGAGTGTGTGTTTCTGTTAGCTAGTGAATGCGTATCTGTCAGTGAATGTGTGTGTGTGTGTGTGTGTATTTAGAAGGCGGAGCAGGGGGGAAGGGTTGGGTGGCGGTTGCGGGGGTGGGAGTAGCGCGGGGGTGCCTGAGTTTTGTCCTGCCTAGGGCAGCACAAAACCAGGATACACCACTGGGTTGAGACCTGTATGGACAGGAGACTAAATGTGCCCGTGTGTGCCTGCCAAGTGTTGCATGTGTGGTGGCTGAAATTTGTTTGTGTGTAGGGGGATCTGAGTGTGTCTGAGAGTTGTTTATGTGTGTGGTGTCTGAGTGTGTGTAAGTTGTTCTTCTGCCCCCCTCCTGTTGTTCTTGATGATCCAGTGGAGGACACTAGTTTGGACTGGTTCCCTGGTGATCCTGTGGTGGGTGAGCTGGAAGCAGGATGCCTGGCGATCCAGTGGAGGTGCTTTGTTCTCTGCATCAAAATGGGTGCAGGTCACTTCATGAGCTCCCTTACAGTTCCTATGTTACTCAATGACTGGCTGCTGTACTCTGAGTCATTGAAAAGTGCCATTGGACTGCAAGCTCTTAAAGTGATCTGCACCTGATACTGGTTTTAAATCACAGTGCTCCCTTGAGCAGGTGAGGGGGCTCAGGGCCGAGTAAGGTTATCTTTTCATCTCTTTGAGACCCTCTTACAGTCAGTTCCTGAACTCCAGCCACAGACAGGGCCACCTTATATAAAACTTATAGTCTCAATTGATCAGTGATTGAAGAGTTAAGTCTGAGCTTTGCAAGGTAGAATGTATAATAAAGATGGAATCATCACATCCTAAGTGAGTACTGTTCTCCTTCCAAAGCCGGGTAGAGATGTATAGACTTTGGCATCTAATTGGCCAGTCTTCAACTTAACCATGATCTTAAGATCCTCACTAAAATTATTGCACTCAGAGTGCAATCTTATCTTCCCAACGTGCTCACAACTCACCAGCTATGGTCTGTGATGGGACGGCAGGCGTTTTTGGGGGGTCTGGATGGTGGTGGCGGCTGTGATTGGCACTACTTGGCGGTGGACTGGCTCTGCTTCCCCTTTGCTCATCAGTCTTGGCAACATATGATTTGTGTTTTAAAACTACACTAAATTGGACACCTACTTGTAACTTTTATTAAAAACATACAGCACAACAGAGCCGGCCTCGTCCCTCTCACCCCTCCTTGGCCTGCTTGGGACCTTTCATGATCTGGCAGGACACAAGATCGGCTGGAATAAATCTAGTGCACTTCACTTGGGAAGGGAATCAACTTCTCCTGTTCCAAATTGTGAGTACATCCCTTATACTTCCTCCACGTTCCCATACTCATTATTGCTGCTGTGGGGCGCAAAACTATCCTTCAGGTCTGGAACCAGCTCAGTACACCACCTCTGCATTTTTTCTTAACTAAACTCAGTTTTTTTATAAAAGTGCTTTGCGTGTAAAAATAGGCGCTTAAACAGGTACCAGAAATGTCAATCTCTTAGCAGCTACCACACTGATGTGGAAATCTCTCCTATTCACCAAAGTATAAACACAGTTAAAGGACCACTCTAGGCACCCAGACCACTTCAGCTTAATGAAGTGGTCTGGGTGCCAGGTCCAGCTAGGGTTAACCCATTTTTTAATAAACATAGCAGTTTCAGAGAAACTGCTATGTTTATCAATGGGTTAAGCCTTCCCCCAAAGCCTCTAGTGGCTGTCTCATTGACAGCACTAGAGGCGCTTGCGTGCTTCTCACTGTGATTTTCACAGTGAGAGCACGCCAGCGTCCATAGGAAAGCATTGTAAATGCTTTCCTATGCGACGGGCTGAATGCGCGCGCAGCTCTTGCCGCGCGTGCGCATTCAGCCGGCGGGGCGTAACAGAGGAGGAGAGGAGGCAGAGAGCTCCCCGCCCAGCGCTGGAAAAAGGTAAGTCTTTACCCCTTTCCCCTTTCCAGTGCCGGGCGGGAGGGGGTCCCTGAGGGTGGGGGCACCCTCAGGGCACTGTAGTGCCAGGAAAACGAGTGTGTTTTCCTGGCACTATAGTGGTCCTTTAAGTAAGGAGGTTGGAAGGTGATACCCACCACCAATCTCCTAAGTGGAGTGCTAGTAAAACACACTTATCCCTAATATACAACTGAAGTAAAAATCAGTCCAATATTAAACATAGGTGAGGAAAAAAAGGGAGAAAAAAATCTAATGGTGTAGTATGTGCGGTACAGAAAAGTGGTAAAAAAAATATATAAATAAACAAACTCACAAAAATAGAGACAAATGCAGGACTGGCTCTAATCACAATCGCTTTGGCGTGTTAAGGTGACACCTTCCCTCTTCTTTATACTTCTTATTAAGTTGAAAAAAGCACAAAGAAAATAGCTCCTAGTGTAGTATATCAGGAACCAAAAATACTTTTATACCAGATGAATATTGCTCACCTTAGAAAGAGGCAATAAGGGAAACCTGGCTCTAGGTATCAATGCTGCTATATAGGTGGGTAACCCTTCTTTACAATAGGCTGATGGAGTAAATAGCCAGAAGCACTAAAAATCCAATCACATAAATGTATTAATACATAAAAACAAAGTTAAAACAAAATATAAGTCAATGAGAAATTTTAAATAAATGCCCAAAAGGCTTCCTGAAGTTCTCCAAGATGCGTTTCACCCTTTCCTCAGTCTTTCTCAATCAGTGACTGTTTAACGCGGACTGGCTGAACACTTTAACTAACAAATAAAACTTAGTAAAAATGTTCCTCAAGACATGCACATTTTATATCCCTACCTTGGTTTCTTCATTCCAGTCAAAGATCATGGCAACCCTAGAGTACACGGCATGGTCCTTGGTGGATCGGGCCATGACCCTTAACAAAATACATCTCATGGCACCAATTATTTGTATCTCTACTTATTACCTTCTTGTTTTTGGGTGGGTTAGGTATCCTGTAAACTGACAAAATTATATATTTTTTAGATTTATAGTATTTCCGGTTTGGTAGCCCATTTCTCTGTCCAACTGCCCAAACCAAGTTTCTCCCTTTTTCCTCCCCTACGTTCAAAATTGAGATACCAATCTCATCAGAAGTCATCAACTCTCCCAACACATTTGTCTAAAGCAGAAA